GTGACATGGATGGGTGGGTGGGGATGGGTCGGGAGCGGTGGGCTGAGAGACCATCATACAGGAGGGTCAGGGTGGCCTCTCTGGTGATTTGACATTCGAGCAGAGACCTAAGCAATGAGAAGGAAGTAGATATGCAAAGATCCGGGGGAAGAGTTCCTGAAAGGGGGAGCAGCACATGCCAAGGCCCTGAGGCAGGAAATAGCGTGGCACGGTCAAGGAAGAGAAAGGAGGCTGGAGAGTTTGGAGAGCGATGGGAAAAGGAGGGTCAGAGAGCCGGGCAGAGGCCAACGCATGAGGACCTTGTCAGGGCCTGTCACAGCGAGGACTTTGGGGGTTTCCGAGTCTCATGGGAAGCCGTTGGAGGGTGTGAAGCTGTGGAGTGACAGGCTTCACTTTAGGTCTTTAAAAGATTCCTCTGGATGCCTGTTTAGAAATTAGATCTTTGAGAGCAAAGCCCAAAATACTAGGAGACAGACGGCTTAGGTGTCTAATGCAGACCAGAGATGACCATGGCTTTGCTCAAGGCGGCAGCTGAGAGCCGGATGTGCAGTGTGAGAGGTGGTGAGGACGAGACTCGAGGTTTCGGCTTAAGCCAAATATTGATGTCCTCTGTTGAGACAGCGAAGGCTGGAGAGGGGCAGTTTATCCGAGGGGAACTGGAAACCACGAGTTCACGTGCTAAGAACTCTCTGTGGTAAGGTCCTGCCATTCTCCAAGAGGGACCCGTGCTCAGGCCCCTCCTGCACTTTTTCATTCCTAGATGTCCCTCCTCCTTTCTCACTGGCCTATCTAACGCCTACCCTGCATTTTCCCTCCTCCATCTGACTTCTAGGACTTATTTCTGCACCCCACCCATTAGCGCTCCATTATACTCTCTCCTGTATTGTTTGCTAATTGGCGTTAATACATTAGAAAATCTATTTCCTGGCTTGGCAGTGACTGCAGTCACTGTTCTCTCTGAGGTTTGCAAGGACCACCCTCAAAAGGCTGTTTACTCCCTCCTAAACACTTTGCTTGCAGTTAAGGGTCTCTAGTGGGGTGATTTATGATATCTTGCTTATGGCTTCCTGCATCAGACAGCCCGACCGCGGCCTTGGGCAGGAGTAAATGAAGTAGAGTGTCATGCTTTTTTACTCAATTATCCCTAAAAAAAAACAAACAAAAAACAAAAAACCCTTATGAAGCTGGAAATGGTAGTAAACCTGAAAATAGGGAGTGCTACAGAGTATGCTTTTAAAGAGATGAACACCTAGACACAATTTGATCATTTTTGTGCTAATCCATACTGTCTTCCAGTTCCTGACCTTGCTGAAATATTCTCTTGTAAGTCATTTGGCATAGACTCAGCTGCCTTTTCCAGAGGCAGGAGAGGGGACATTGGAGAGGGGTCATTCGAGAGGGGTCATTCTGGGACTTTGTTCCAACTTAGCATCAAAACATTTGCAAATTCACTTGCTTTTTATGTACTACAGCTTAGGGATTCATTTTTTTTGTGATCTGGTCTTTTACAGTTTGTTGCTGAAAGAAATTTTCAGGACATTCTTAGTGCTTTTTCTTATAACGCTACTTAGGTCATACCTTTCCACAGGACGGAAATGGAAAAAGTAAGATGCTTAATATTTCACATGCAGAGTCCTTCTCTATATCAGAGATTGTTATGTTCTGAATATTGCATGTAACTAGTTATTCAGAGGGCTCCATTCCCCAAGCCATTCCTTTAATGTTTGAGGATCTAGGAGAGAAGGCAGAAGCCCTGGGACTTCATCCTGCTGGTCGCTTGTTCGAAGTCTTGAAGTCCACATCAGAAAGCATGCACGCTAAATTTGCAGATGTATGAAGCTGGGCTGGAGAAGGCATAGTGACGGGGACATAGGACATGCTGTTGCTCCGTGTACACCATCTGTAATACTCACATCAGCCTTGCAATGCCGTGGAGGCCACGCGTATAGGCATTCGGCATATTTACTTTGGAGTCAGAGACACCAAGTCCGTGTGACCTTGGCAAAGTAACTTGCATTTTCTAATGGTCGTTTCTCCTATTTAAAATGTGGAGGATAATGGTACCTACTTCCTGGGCTTGTCAGAATTATGAGAGATCCTGCACAGAGTGGACTCCAAATGGTGCTTGGAACACAGAAAGAATTGGATAAACATCGGTAATCTTTATAGCCACCATTCTCATTTTAGGTAAGGAGGCAGGGGCTTAGAGGACTCGAGGGACTTGCCCGAGGTCTCACAGCTGTTGCCTGGCAGAGCTGGGGTCAGAACCCAAGGCCGTCCACTCGAGAGCCCACTCTTTGTCCTACGCCACACAAAGAATCGAGATTTCAAAAGATCTTCATGGACTGTAACTGCAAAGTGACAAAGATTCCATTCAACAGGGACCAATGCAAAGAGGTTCATCAGAGTTACCGAACTTGTACATGTGGAGGGATGGACAGACCTGGCTGGCTCATTCTGAAAAGACTTGATATCTAAGAGTAGCAAAATATAAGCCTAACAGGGGAACGGCATGGCCGTTAGAACAAGGCCTGCAACCTCGGGCAGCATCGGTGCGTCGTGTTCAGATCAGGGGTGCGTGGCAGTGGTCACAGAGCCTCCATGGCATTGTAACCAGGTCTGAGAATGTCCTTCCCAGCATGACATGGTGTGTCCTTTCACTAAAGCAAAAGGCTTGGGAAACCACGTTTTAGGAAGAATGATCGGAAGGAATCAGGATCCAGGACAAAGTCCTGGGCTCTTTGCAAGTCTCTCAGCTGAAAGAACCGAGTTTGTCTGGGGTGTCTCTGGGGAGTGTTACTGGAATTGAAATGAAGTGCTGGGAACGTATGCTTTGGTTCTAAGCAACAGATAATTTCTAACATAATTAGGACTTCGAAACACAGAGTGGGGCGGTTTTGTGCAGTAATGAGCCTCCTGTCATTCTAAAGGAATCTCTGCAGAGTCTGGGTAGCCATTTTTTCAGGTCTCCAGAGAAGGATCACAAGCAAGGAGGAAATGCCTGGATTAGTGATTTCTGAATAAGATGCCGCAGCACAATGAGCAGTTCTACAAGGGCATGTGGTCTGTGCTAAAATTTCCTTATAAGGCCATTCTCTTTCCTCTTCCCAAAATGACCACCAACCACCCTCTCCTCTCTCTGTCGCTGCAGGTTGGAGCTTGGCAAGGGGAAAGCAGGAAACCGAGAGGCTACAAAGCAGCGAAGGGTCTCGGTGGCCCTTGGGAGGGTAACAGGAAGCCAGTCTTTGGAGTCAAAAGGACCCCTCCCTCTTTGTGGGGGCACCTGGAGCAGAGGTGGGTAATCTGAGTGAACAAGGTAGCCCTACCTGGATTTAGGACTCTGAAGGTTTTGACGGCTGAGGAGACGAGCGGCCGAGACCCGCTTTTTGTGGACATTGGATAGACCTGTGGGGAGAAAAACCACAGTCTTCCTGAGACGGGGTTAAACAGGTGTCAGTAAAAAAGCCTTCAGCTTCTAGTGACACTCGACTCACACTTCCACCGTCTTGTGGAGTAAAGTGAGCGGACAAAGGAGAAGAGGTCAGGCAGGCATTGTTGGGGGCGGATCCGGCGTGGTTGTGGATAATGCAGAACACAAAGTGAATCTGGCTGAACTTAGCTGAGAGGAGGGTGGTTCGGGGTAACGTGCCACTCTGCTGGAGAGAGACACTTCTACGCATGCTTTACTGAGCATGGAGCAGCAGGGGTGTATTTATCTTGGGAGGATCGTCTTAAAGGGAGACTAAAGCGATTAAACCCACTTTCTCCGAGCACCTCTTGGGTGCTTGAGAACTTGTCTTTCTGTTCCCCGCTACCGTCATGTATGCCTCCCCAGGATGGGGGAGACAGGTACCTTGTGTAAGTTCTGGAGCTTCGGCCACGTAGGTGAGGCGGAACTTGTTCCTCTTCCAGCTGCGATCATTGCTGATGAGAGAGTTGTTCGCCTTCTCAATGTTGACGTCATCCCCCACGCAGAACACGTCACAGGCTGCCTGTGGCGCACACGAGGCTTTCAGTGACCTCCTTCAGCCAAGAGGGACTCCAAGTCCCTGCATCCGCCCATCCTTCCTTCCTTCCATCCATCCTTTCATGCATCCATCCATCCATCCACCCACCTACCATCTATTCATCCATCCATCTCTTGCTCCCTCCTTCCCTTGTTCCACTTAACCACCCGCCCACCCATCCACCCATCCACCCACCCATCCACGCAAATACCACCTACGCGTTCATTGATCTATCTACTAATCCATCATATATTTTTTGAGTGCCTTCGATGTGCGGGACATATCACAATTACTACTGATTTGAAGACCTAACCTACATTTAATTCAGAACGCTGTCACTTATTCCTGAAACCAGCATGTGAAGAGGCCTAATATTCAACAAGAAAGTAAATACTTTAGAATTTCCTATTCATTTTCCTCTAAAGATTTTAAAAATTATGTTAAAGGCAGAATATATTGAATGTCTGGATATCTTATACATTTTTCTTTTGTTTTCTTTCTTTTTCTTTTTTTCTTTGCCAAATTCATAAGCTGTGTAACTTTACTAATCCTAAGAATTACTGTTCAGAATTATGTTTTGAGATAAAAGCCTTGGATAATTTGAAAGGTTATCGAGGATAGCTTTTCCTATTTTTTGGCCTGGTGTTGATTTTCAGACAATTAAAATGTTTATCAACTGATGTATTATAAACAAATTGTGGTATATCCATATGATGGAATATTATTTGGCCATGAAAAGGAATGCACCTTTATTGAGATCATGGTTAACATCTCCAAAATAAGTTGTGTTGACTCTGTGACCCCTGGTATGATGTGACGAGGACACCTCACTTCTGTGATATTCTTCCCTGAAACCCATAGCCCCACTCTAAAAAGGAAGACTGAGACACACAGCCTAGGAGATGAAAGGGACATTGTGACTTAATGCAATATGGATTTGATCTTGAAACAGAAAAGGGGCATTAGTGGGAACGCTGGTGAAACCCAAATAAAGCCTGTAGCTTAAATAATATATTGTATGTGTTCTCGGTTTGACGATCGAACCATGGTTATGTTAACAGCGAGGCAAAATGGACGAAGGGAACATCCTTGCTACTGTTCTATATATCTTGAATTATTATAAAATAAAGAAATATTTAAAAATGGAGAAAAAGAAAAGAAGTATTGCCACGTGCTACAGTGCGAACCCTGAGAACATGATACTAAAATGAACAACTCCAGTTACAAGAGACCACATATCATATGATCTCGATCATATAAAATATCTAGAATAGACGAATCTGGAGACAGGAAGTAGAGTAGTGGTCACCAGGACTACGCGGGGATGGGAGGGTCGGGGAGCTGTGATAGCTAAAGGCTCTGCTTCTGGGATGCTCAAAGCTGGCTGACTGAAGTCAAGAACCGTGCAGTTGTCTTGAGGTGTGTAAAGAAAAAAACCCACGTTATCTCTATTCTCCTTGTCTAGGAAGAGATGCAGGAACCGGCTTATTGACACCGCCTTTCCACACCGATATCTTTATAGCTCAGGGGCCTCGGTCTCTCCCCGTGCTCTCTGCCTGCCTTTGCTTTTAGGATGAAAAGTGTCAACTGAATGACAGAAGGCTGCATAGTCCCCTTTCTCTTGGGGCTGTCAATGAGAATGGATTCAAAGGCCAAGGAAGGAGCAGGGGTAGGTGGGTTCATGTTCATTGCTTTTTCTGTTTTTCCCGGGGTGAACAACTGCATCATGCCCCACATGGCTAACGGAAGGCCATTATTTATTTGTTCTCTTGTGACCTCATGTCCAGAATAGTGCTGTATGATTGGAGGTTCTATCATGATGGATATGTTCTGTGCTCTCTAACATGGTAACCACCAAGCACTTGTGGCTACTGAGCACGTGAAATGTGGCCCGCGCTGCAGGGAAATGGGACTTTTCATCCAATTTCATTGATAAACATATAATACAGAATAACATATAATGTTATAATACAGTAACATAGAATTCACATATGCGTTAACTATATTTGCTATAGAGCTAATATATTGTCACGCACAGAGAGAGTGGGAAGAGATCATTCACACAACAGGAAATTTCACCATTTAAAAACGGACAATTCTGTGGATTTTTGTGTATTTACAAGGTAGCGCATCCACTCCATTGTCCACTTTCAGAAGATTTTCATGACCCCAGAGAAACCCCACACCCATTAGCAGCAACTCTGACTTCCGCTCCCCCCAGCTGCGAATCTACTTCCTGTCTGTACAGATTTGTCTATTCTGCACATTTCATAAAATGGAATAATGTAATATTCAGTCTCTTCTGCCTGGCTTCTTTCACTTAGCACCACGTTTTCAAGGTTCACCCATGTTGGAGCATGCTCAGTACTTTATTCCTTTTCATGGCTGGATGTTATTCCATCGTATGAACATGCTACATTTCATTTATCCATTCATCATACTTAATGTGAATTAGTTTACTTTTACGCGTAAATAGTCGCATGTGGCTCGTGGCTACCATACTGGTTGGTGCCAATCTAGCACAAGAGGAATAGCTTGTCAAAGTAGACAAATTGGTGGGATCTGAGTTCCAGGCTGAGGCATGGCCCCTGGTTTGGTTAACTCCCTCTGTGTGTTGGATCTACTTGCCTACCACACGTGAGTGAGGGCTGGATTCCTTCCAGCCCTGAAATTCCAAGACTCTATAATTTTTTTATAGACTATAATGCAGGAGGTTGGATTCAGGGTGGAGAATGCGTGCTTTGAGAGCACTCACACTCATCTGGCTGGACACGTGACGGAAGTACCAGGGCAGCTCTCAAATTTCTTTTATTTCTGATGGCTTAGGTACTCTGTCTTCATGGGTTGTGGGAGATATGACTTCTCTCCCTAGTCTGAGAGCTGGGCAGATGGTTACCTTGAAGACCTTCTTGGCCCAGGTCCTGAAAGCCTCTTCCTGCCCACAGAGCTCGTCCCCCTCTCTCATCTTCAGGATCCTCTCTCCTCCCAGCTCTTCCAGGAGGGTGTCCACGGCGTGTCCGAAGGCGCAGAAGTGAGGGTATGCCCGTGAGCCAAGGCCGAACACTGAGAACCTGCCAAGAAGACAACAGAAAGTCCTTGCTAGGGGACTGTGGGGGTTTTGGGGGGTGCCTGGTGCTACAGGGAGAACTATGTTCCCCCCCCAAGTTTAAATGCTGAAGCCCTAACTCCAACATGACTGTATTCAGAGATGGAGCCTTTAAGGTGGTAACTGAGGTTAAATGAGGTCATAGCATTAGGGCCCTAATCCAATGGGTCTGATGTCCTTATAAGAAGAGAGAGAGACACTAGAGACTCTCTCTCTCACACACTCTCTCCACGTGCCCAGTGGAAAGGCCACGTGATGACACAGCAAGAAGGTGGCTGTCTAAAAGTCGGAAAGAGAGGCCTTACCAGAAACCAGTCCTATTAACACCTTGATCTTGGGCTTGTAGCCTGCAGAACTTTGAGGAAATACACTTCTGTTGCTGAAGCCAACGAGTCTGTGATATTTTGTTATGGCTGTCCAAGCAGACTGACACATCTGGTATCTTCAGAAGGACTGCATTTAGCTCCCAGTGGTCAGGCAACCCCGAGCACACCTGGGGAAGGCCATCTTAAACCTGGGAGGCTGTCCTAAGCAGGACGGGTTGGGGAAAGCCATGGTCCAGAATGATCGGCTATTTCTTGTGTGTCTCTTTCTAAGCTGGACTCATTGAGGAAATTAGTCTGCATTATCGAAAGGCTTGAATTCTATAAGTTTTGTAATTCTATCAAACTAGATCAGTTTTAAGTACAAAGATAATGAAAACTACAACTCAGAGGCCCCCAGGGACCAGCATTAGTCAGGTCAGGAGGACCTGTTGTTAACTCATCAAATGCTGGTGCACAAACAGGTTCTTCTAAAAAGGAATGAAAGATCTGTAAACATGCTGGCTCCACCCCTTGCAATGTCTGTAAAATTAATATGCCTCACAAACCACCACCAAGAAAATGTCAGTGTTCGAATCGATGGGGCCAAGTTAGTAAAAATTTTCTCTACATCGAGGTGGGGCCGCTTTGAAGCATGGGAAGTGGAGGGCTGTGTCCTACACGGCCCCTTTTGCTAGGTCACGGTGTCTCACAGACACTTGATGTCACACTTCCAGAACTTTCGGTCCTGGCCGTAGTTCTCAGCCTCATGGGGATCGGAGTGGCAGGTTCTCAAGTGGGACAAGAACACCTTCCCTACTTCCTTCCCGGGTCACAGCGCTCTGCTGTCCTCTCGGGCCAAGGAGTGAAGCTTTTTAACCTCCTCCATACAGGATCTGGCTCTTTTTAGGATAAGGGGGCCAAGATGGTGAAATGGGGGCAGTTGGGAAGGGACTCTGTCATTGGAGACTGAACTCGAGATGAGTCCAAGTGTCTCTCAGATCCCGTGAAGGTTAACATAGGTTAATGACCACTCTTTTCAAATCCACGGTCATGGTTTCTCATCTCACTTTTCTCTTCTTTCCGGCCCTCTTCCTCCCTGCTCCCCACCCCGGGGTTCCAGAGCCTTTCCAAGGAAAGTACGTGGGACTAGGCAGCCTTTCCCCCATCGGTCCTTTACCTATTATCTCCATGGACCTGGATTCTTCACCTTTTCCTCAAAGGACAGCAGCCTGATGGGTAGAGAACTGGTGACCAGGAGTGGACGTTTGAGGGGTGCCCTTAGCCTAAGCGTCTTTGGAAACCCGTAGCACTAGTCATGCCATGTGGTCAAGGCGTCGCTCCCCAAACCTTTGTTTACGTCGACACATCAGCCATACACGACTATCCCCAATGGCATTAGTTACTTATTAGTATTATTTAACTTGCTTTTTATTTGTGCTCATCGAGCCCACTAGTGTTCACTAACGGATGGTTCAGGTGATTAATGAATTAATAAATATGCTGCCCGTTGCACAAGAAGACCCACATCATAGTCACTTCTTAGATTCACGTTTCCATCACAATGTTCACCTTATGGCTTTAAAATTCCTATTTTAAGCCTCAAAACCAGGAGTTGGCAAACTTACTATATATGGGGCTAGATAGCAAATATTTTTAGGCTTGTAGGCCCTCGAAGAAGCAAAATCAAAGCTATTATACAGCTACTTATATAACAAGAAAGAAAACAAATTGCTGTGCATTTTTTGACAAAGTTAAAAATACTATAATAATAATGATAAGAATCGTTCTAATAGTTATAGTCGAATACACTTTTTTAGGAATATATTTCTACTAATGACAATGTAACTTTTTCGGGGGGATACCATTTGGCTTATTTGGGGCTTAAAAGTAGTGAATTGCAAATGTTCATCTGTAAAAACCATTCTTAGCTCATGGTTTATATAAAAGTACACAGTGGCCAGGCTGGGTGTGGCCCGCAGGCTGCGGCTCATCTCTATCTGCTCTAAGCCGTGGTAGACTTAAAAAGGGAAAAATGAGTCTGAAAGTCAAATTAGAGAACTGATATTCCAACGTCAAGCTAGAAAAATGTACTGATGGCAAAACCTATTAAACGTACGACGCCAAGAGTGAACCCTGATGTACACTATGGACTGTGTGTGACTGTGACGTGTCCGTGTAGGTTCATTGGTTGCACATGGTGATGGCAGAGGTGGCCGTTTTTGTGGGTGTGTCAGGGACAGTGGGAGCAGAGCGTATATGAAAAATCTTTGTACTTTCCCCTCAATTTTGCTATGAACCTAAAACTTCTTAGAAATTAAGTCTCTTAAAAAGCGTACTCATAGACACAATCCTTTGATATCTAAGAACCCTGTGCTCTGTATCATGTAAGCACTGCCCTGAGCAGGTGTAGAAGAGGTTCAGTTTGTGAAAGTCTGAGAGATCTGTGGCCAGGCCTGGATACTCTGCTGAGATCAGCCTCATCTTGACCAATATCTGTGAAACTAAGGGCTTGACGTCTGATTTTATTTCCTTCCAAATAGCCATTAAACTGATAGACACAGCTATCGAAATACAAAATAGTCGTCCACTTACTACCTAAAATCATCTCATGGCATGTGACTATGCTTTGGAAAACATGAGGTGAAGCCAGTATATATTAGAGTCAGTCAGAGAAATTAAAGGAAAAAACAATGCTTGGGCCCAATTCTAGACCGATGATACCAGAATCCTTGGAGGTGAGGATTGGTTATTGGTTATTACAAATATCTCCAGGTGATTTTGATGTGCATCCAGGTCATGGCAGGGTGTCTCCAGAAGCTTCTATTAAGTGCAAAACATATCACGTGGGAAGGGCAGCTTATTGAGTCATTTTTAGGGGTCAGCATCCTTTATCACAAATGACGTGCTGATTTTGGAGTGAAATGTGTGTGATGGAGTGAAACGTGGGTGATGGGGGCTCTGAGGGTGTATGTATAGAAAGAGGAGTCAGGGGCAGCCCGGGTGTACCTAGTTGTTGGAGGGATGGATGGACACGGGAGGGAGACAGCCCCCCCAACAAAGAGCCCACTTTGCAACTAAGTCCAGTTGCCCCAGAGCCTTCCACGTCCCAAGTGCCCAAGCCCCTTGCTCACCTCACATTTGCCAGGGGTCCAGCGCTCTCAAAGTTGTCTCTGAGGTCCGGGCCATTGCCGGATGATTTGCGGGCATCGGAATACGAGGAAACGCTATTGAACCTGACCTTGTAGCTCCTGTCAAGAGGAAAGAGAATAATGAGCTCTAGCTTGGAGCTCCCTCCTGAGGTCAATCCCTCAAAGGATCTTCAAATGACCAGTCCTGCTTCCAGGACTTTCTCTCGTGTGTTGAGTTAGCCCAGAACACTCCCACGGCCTCTTCTAGAATGTATCAACTTACCCTCACCCACCACAATGACAGCTAGCCATGTGCGCTTGATGCTACCTGTGTTCAAAAGGTCTGTGACCACACTCAACTCAGGAAACTTGAGACCCCAACAGTCAAAATGATTTAATTGGCAAGAAGTCAGGGATAGAACAGACCACCCCCTAGCCATCAGACACCATGCTTCATGCTTCCCAAATTTTAATGTGCCTAAACATCAGCCCAGGACTTGATTAAAATGCAGATCCTGATTCAGTAGATTAGAAACACAGCCTGAGATTCTGCCTTTCTAATAAACTCCCAGGAGACGCTGATGCTGCTAGTCCCCTGCCCTCATTTTGAACAGCAGGATCTAGACTCGCGTTGTCCACTGTGGTAGCCACTGGCTACATGCATCTGTTTAAATTTAAATTAATTCAGATTAAATATAATGAAAAATTCTGTTCCTCACTTGCAGTAGCCATATGTCAAGTGCTCAATAGCCACATGAGGCTAGTGGCTGCCGTATCGGAAGGCACAGATATAACATTTACGTCATTCTAGGAAGTTTTATTGGGTGGCGCTGGACTACCCCATTCAACACTCTCCATGAAGTTATAATCCTTAGACATTTCGAGGGTCTGCCACATTCCACACTCCGAGTCAACGTGAAAAATGTTCAGCGCTGACACGCGGCATGAAGAGAGATTGGATTTCTTACTGAATCGCTTTGAAGGGGAAGGAAGTCTTAAGCTTCAGTATTCGAGGCTCAGGAGCCTTGAGACTGAAACAAAATATCCAGCGTTCCAGTCTTTCTCTCAAAGTGGTAAGTTTCATTCTCAGACAAGGCAAAAACAAAACATGAAACAAAATTAACAAAAAAACCCCAAGACCCAACCAAACCAAACAACCGACCAAAAGACCAAACCCCAAAACAAAAACAAGACACAAAAACTCAACACACAAATCTAAGTGCAAAAGATGAAAAAAGAAACTGCATATTCTGGCAGCAGGGTTTCTAAGCTGGATGTTCTTCAAAGTTTTCGCTCCAGCATTGGGAAAGTTCTAAATATATGTAAGTGTATTTTCTGCCCTAAAATTGTCTCGCATTGAGTCACTTCTCCAAATAAGTCATGCAACATATCAGGGGGTGGCTGTGTTGTTAGTGTGGGGGCGCTGGCTGACGGTCGTGGGGTAAGAATAACAGCACGTGTATTTGTATGAGGTCTGAGGTTTTCCCAAATGCTTTCCTCTTTGTCGTTATCCTTCTGTCCTCATGACAGCTCCCAGAGGTGGTCAGGGTGGAGCTTTTTCTCCCCATTTGGCAGAGGAGAAAGACCGAGGCCCAGAGAGGTCAAGGACCTTGCTCGAGATTGCTTAGTGAGTTAGTGGTACAGCCTGGGTTAGACCTGAGGTCTCCCTGAGACCCGGATGTGGCCTTGGAAGTTCTGGCATTGGGCATGCATGCACGCACGTGTGCACACACATCTACATGCACACATGTGCACACGCACCTGCACACACATGTGCATGCATGCGTTGGGCATGCACGCACGCACGTGTGCACACACATCTACGTGCACACGCACCTGCACACACATGTGCATGCATGCACACACACATGCTCACACACACACACACACATGCTCTACCTGTGCTGGCTGTCACGGGCGGTAGCCAGACCACAGACTTCTGTGTCACCTCGGGGAAGGGGAGACCCTTTACGGGGAAAGAAACGCAAGGGTTCCGGGTACCTAGAGGGGAGAATGGATGGTGCCCTATCTCTCCCTGAAGGAGGGGTGAGGAGAACCTCCTGGAGGTCACCGATGGGGCGGGAAGGAGAAGGGCAGGGAGGGAGTGGGGCAGTTGGCACAGAACGAGGGCTGACCACCGGGGACCCAGCTAGCCCCTGGGCGTGGGACGTTTGCGAGTGTGGCAAAACGGGCTTGGCAAAACGAAAGCCAGGAGCGATTTCGTGGATAACACAGCCTCTCCACACCAGCCAGCTCCAGCAACACGGGGATCCGCTCCATACTGGAGGAGACGCTGTGCTGGCCTCACTGACAGGCAGCTCGGCATGCACGGGCCATATGTTCTCTACGTTGCGGGGGATTTAAGGGCTTTTCAAGGGCGATGTTGATTACAGGTGTCTTTCGCCCTATGAAATATCTTTAGAGCCCAACCCCACGCTGGATGCGATTTCGCCATGAACGTCCTTCGGCGACAGGCGCTTCTGGCCCTCTTTGGAACGTTACTTCCACAGCAGCTGCAACTCTGCAGTGAGCATCAGATGGAAAAGTTCTAGGGACAGATGCTCATTTCACCGATTCTGAAGGTAGGTTTCCAAAGGTGGCAGATGAGAACTGATATTTACACGGTGCTCCTAACTTTTCACGGGACCTGTAAGTCTATTTTCTGATTCGATTCTTACAAATTAGAAAGTTCAGGCAGGTAGAATAAACCCTATTTGATGGAAAAAGAAAGTGAGGCCCAGGGGTGTGAAGCGACTAAGCCAAAACTTTCTAGTCAGAAACCAAAAAACTATCAGCTCCAGTGGGGCACAGACATCCACTGTTAAAATAGGTCACAAATGGACTTCAGGTCACGACCCTCATCCATCCAGAACTCGAATGGGAACCCTAGGTGCGCGAAGACAATTTCCAGTTACCCACCACGGGGTGTCGTGTGACCCAGAAGGATCGTTCACTTACTTCCTTTCCTCATGCACAGAGTTGGGGTGCCTCATTTCCATCAAAGCACAGCCGAATTTCTGGAGGCCAAAAGAGATGAGTGAAATGTGAAGCGTGTGTTACTGAGTCCAGAACAGGGACAGGCACGGAGGGTCTGGGTTCCTGGCTGACACTTAGGGGCCAGGATATCACAGGTGGTCAGGGACTCGGGCTGGGCAGCGATGCTTGAGCTGCAGATGCCCGTGGAAGGGCCAGCTGTTTACAGGACTGCAGATGGGGGCTCCACTGCCCCGGCACACAAATCCCCTTTGCGGCTTTCTCTCCATAAAAATACTTGCCCCTACTTCTCTCATCCGGAGCAGGGGACACCAAGCTCTTTGTGGGAGCACCCAATTTTAAAGGAGCAACTTACTCAGGTGACACCATTTTCGCTAGGGGCCAGCTGGTCAGTGGACACCAAGAATCTGAGGACCTGGAATTGTCCAACCTTTGAAGAACTTGGATGCACACTGAAGTCACTGGTTTCGAGGCTCGGGGAGGATGTGCGACTGAATAGCAGGTGTAACTGCTGCCCCCTCCTTCTCCCCGCTGACAAACACGCACGCTGGAACCGACGAAAACTCATCTCACCTCCCCGTTCTCAGGCGGGTCTCCATTGCCGAAGGTGCTGGTGACGACCAGGACCAGAGTTTCGTGTTCCAGGTGCACGATGTCATATTCTTCCATGGACATCACCTAGGTGAGAGAATGGTGGGGAGGGGAGGAAGAAGACGGTGAGAGAGACGAAGGGGGAGAGAACAAGAATGATGGGGGAAGGAGTAGAAGAGAGAGAGAGGGAATAGAAAGACGAGTCATCTTAAGCCATTTCGTTTGAAAGGAGAACCAAAGATTCTAGATGTCACTATTTCAATGGCCTCAAATGAGCAGAACTGAAAGCCTTTGGGTAGGGTGGGGCCTCTCTGTGGTCACGTGGCCTGAAGGACCGTAGAGAATCTGGGGCAGTGGTGTAAGAGATTGGCTGATGGTAGAGAAAGATTTTGTCTGAGACCCTTGAGCTTCTCAGAACCACCTGATTCTGTGGTCAACCTTCTTGACACATCTAGGCTGGAGATAACCTGGCTGGCTGGATCTGACCAGCTTCTCAGCCTCCTTTCTATCTAACCCTCCCTCGAGCAGTGTGGACGACCTGGGCCAAACAAGTCTGAGACACCTGCTTTTGGGAAAGATTGTTGCTCTCTGTCTTAATATGACCTGAGCAACATTTCTTAAATAGGTTCTAGGGAAGCCTGGTTTCCTGAGATGTTCCTTGAAAATTATTGAGCCATAAACAAACATGCTTGGGAAAAATTTATATTCTCTCCCCTTCTCTTTTGGAGATTATAACACACACTTGCAGATTAAAGGCTCTGAGAAGTCCTGCAGCAAAGACGCCCATTGAACTGTATTGAATGCAGAGCTTCCCAAACTGATTCCAAAATGGATTTTTATAAACCCTTGAACATTTGGTCCAGCGATGGGGCTTTTATTTTTGTGGTTCATGGACTCCTGGAGGGTTCACAGGGAGAGGGGCATCACCGCCCCCTGAAATTTATGCAAATGTGCATGTGTGTGCTACAGGGCAACGTGTGATGTGCTCTCCTCCATTCTCAAAGGGTTCGTCTCTGTCGACTTCCCTCTCTCCCCTCCCAACTTTATCTACCACGAGGGGCCGGGGAACTGGCACTGCCCCCTACCTACCTTGGCATCGAAGGCGTGTTTGAAGATCTCACACAAGGTTTTGGCGTAGGCCTGCGATTTGCCTGTCTCTGTGGCATAAAGGATGGTCGCCTTGACCCTCTTGGCCATTGCCTGCCCCATCAGCTTGGCCGAGAACTTGACAGCTCTGGGAGAAAGAGGACAGAGAGGAAAATGGGAAATGCTAGGTTGGGACTTTGGGGCGAGAACCATGACTCATGAAATATAACAGGAAAGGACTTACTGTCCTGATCTCTGATGGCCTTGGGGAGACTCACAGCCTGAGTTTAGGCATCATATAGAATACACACCCCTTTACCCTTTATTAAGTCCCCCAGAGTCACGAGCTAAAATGGTTGGTCAGTTTGATCAGGTTGTTACTTAATAGATTGATCCCAGTCTTCAGAAGCTTGCTTTGCCAAGCATCGTCCCCAAAAGGTGATTAGTCATTTATTTGCTCATTCTTTCATTCATCAAAGGGGTGCTGAGTGCTTAACTATGTGCCGGGCATAGTGACTGAGGAACATAGAGAATGTAGCTATGGACAAGCAGCCGTCACGGGGCATAAATTCATGAGGCGGGGTGGGAACAAATCACTAATAAACCACCAGGTATTGAGTTTGAAGAGATTTTAGAGATTTATTGATCTACAAAGGAAGGACCAGGTCTGGTTTAGTCCACCATGGAAACCCAGGGTCTTGCACAGAGCCTGCTACCAAATAGGCACTAAGTACATATTTACCAAAAGGAAGAAGGAATTTGCTGCTACCATCAAAGCCTTGGGGAGGTTAAATGTCAAGTCCAGGCTCTTTCTGGCTAAATGGAGAATTCACAATCAGTGTCTTTTCCTTCCCATCCAAGAGGGCATGGGAATGGCAGACAGGCCAGAGGCGCGGAAATCCCTGGGCTCACCTTCCGAGCAAGCACCGCTGTTCCAACAAGGAAGCTCGGTGTAGACAAACTGCTAATTACTCCCACCTGGGGATTATTGGTGGTAGATTCATCATTTTTTTAGAATCAGGGAAACCACCCACGCAACAGGAGCACTCTGGCTCAGGGGCAGAAACAGAAGAATAAAAGGTGCCTGGAGGTTCCCTTAGAACGACTAGAGAATAACGAAGCAGCTATAATTAACTTCCATTGTTTCTCCCCCAAACTTAATAGTGCAATTAAGGTTTTAGATTTCTCCCTCCCCTTTTCCCCCAGGAGACAGTTGAACCGAAGGAAGCCAAAGGCTGCCCTCCCTGAGAATATTTGTAATTCTTTTGTCATGGGAAGGACGGAAATGGCTGTTGCTTGGCTGGAAGATGGGGTTAGGGGGAAGGAGAGAGAGAGATGTCATGGGCCATATTAACAGAGCCGGGATCTGGGGTTGAGTCCCTACGAGACCCACCATTGTCCTGCTTCTGGGGTCCTTTGCATGGATGACCCCTTTTGCTCAACTAGGTACCATCCATAGAGAGTTCTGGACCCAAGGGTGCTGAAGAGAGAGAGTAAGAAGTTTCCTGCACACCTAACTGCTCTGCTAAAAAAGTTAGCTCCAAACAGGTGTGTCTCAGAGTAGATCAGTGTTCTTTAGGAGAAGGCTGGCATCCCTATAAAAAGCACCTCAACTTGGCTCCACCCCACTTGCTAGCTGGTCCCCTGGCTGGTCACACATTCTTCAGGACAGTTGTTCTTTAGTGACCTTGACTCATGACCCCCTTCCCTCCCTTCTTTTCTCAGTTATGTCTTATTCATCTCATTCTTCAGCTCAATTGTCATCTCTTGCAGGAAGCCCTCTCCGACCTCCCGAAGTCTGTTCTATGGCACCATGAATCTTCCTTGAATGACGCGTGCAGTGTTTACCATAATTGTGTGGTTCATTATTCATCTCATTCTTCAGCTCAATTATCATCTCTTGCAGGAAGCCCTCTCTGACCTCCCGAAATCTGTTCTATGGCACCATGAATCTTCCTTGATGACGCGTGCAGTGTTTACCATAATTGTGTGGTTCTTTGACAGATGAATGACTGTGAGCTACATTAGGGTAGGGACCACATTTCTCTGGCTCATGATGGCATCCCTGAAGCCTCGCACAGTGCCTGGCACAGAGTAGGCACTCAGTATTGATTCGTTGGCCAAATGAATGAATGAATGAATGAATGAGTACTTAGCATTCAGCCCTGGACAAGCACACTCTCTAGGCAGTGGTGTGCTGGACTTGGCTCATCCCAGCTCCTCCCCAGTTTGGGGTTAGTGACTCCCTGTTGGTAGCCTGAAATTGGCCACGGTGGGAATATTTAGACAACAGAAACTGACAAATGTCACAAATCTACCATTATTACTACTCTTAACATTATTATTATTAGGAAAGTTGATTTACCAACACACCACTGCCTCCAGGACAAGAATTTATGAAACTAGGGTGAGGAAAAATAAAACTAGGAAGGTTAAGAGTTGTGTGGGACATTCACATCCCGGACTCTGGGGCCAAGAAGGCAACAAAGGGGTCGGAGAAAGTACAGAATTCATGTCACATGAGAGGTTCGAGGAATGAGCACTTGTCCAGCCTCCTTTTCTGGGGCTCTCTGAGTTTTGGGAAATAGACATCCCCTCAACCTACTTCAGGAGACTTACTCTGCTAGCTTCTTGAAGCCGATGGCTCGCCTCTTCGTGGGGGTCCCATTGGTGCCTTTCCAGACATGGGTGTTCCAAGGGTCAGGCTGCAAAGAGAAGATCATGGTCATTGCAGTGAGGGAATCTGGCTCCTCGTGGGAGATGCTCAGAATCCCTGGGGGCTTGTGGCTGCCCAGCCATGCCAACCCTCAGCCCCTGAAGGGCGTGATTCTGCCGGTGGTGACCGCAGGGGTCCTCACGGCTGGTGCAGCCTCCCCGCGTTGCCCTATAAGACCTCCCCACTCAGCCCTCGGTCCCTCTTACATACTTTCCTGGTGGCCCCAGACTGCTCATTTCATCTCCGTTAGCCTTTCAGCTAGCTCTGTACTGTTCACCATGGCTATGGAGCACTTGAGTGTCCAAGGTGCTGGTCTGCATCGAGACATGCTCCAAGCATAACCCAAGACAGGCAAGGAGGGGGCAGGACCTGGTACTCGAAGGAGGGGGTGAGCCGGTAGTTGAGCATCTCCTGGTGGAAGACAGGGGTGATGCTGCCGGACATGGGGGGCACGATCCACACCCAGTCAGCTGGGCAGCCCCCGCGACAGCGGTATTCATTTTCCATGTGCTTAATGAAGGACTCGGTGGCGGAGTGGTGGTCGACGATGGTCACTTTGTCACTCTGTGGGAGCAGATGGGACAAGGGGTCAGGAGGTAAGAGAAGCAGGGGTATTTTTCGGGCTCCCTCCCTCGTAGAGCTGCGTTTCCCAAAGGGTGGGCCTGGAGGTGATTTGAGGCAGTGTCCAGTGCTTCTCTGCATCTCTCTCTCGATCCTTCTGATTAAACCCGGGAGAAAGTCTCTGCTTGGCGCTAACGTATCTTTAATTCCTCTCTTGCCAATGTTCCTCTCTCCTTCCCCAACCCTCCTCCCTTTTTAATACGAGAAAAACTCTCTCTTATCTAGTTAGAGTTGAACAACTTTGTTTTGTTATTCATTGTGTTTACTTATTTAAATGTACAGTTCTCTTCTATTTATACCAACTGATATTGGTTCTCCACCGATGGTGGTGATACGGAATCTTCTTAAAATAAAATTTGTAAGTAATAAAGTTGAACTTATTAAAGTTAAAACAAGGAAGTCACAGCAGAGGTGGGCTGACCGGGTAACCTGGCTGGGTTGGACTCACACCCACGCAGTGGTCTCCCCTCTCTGCCCACAAACCCTTGTCCCTGTCCTAAGCTTTTCTGCCTGTGCTGTCTCTGGCTCGTGGGTCTTCACACCACCCGACCGAACCGTGCTCCGTTGTTTTCAACAACTCCTGCAACCTCCCTCCGATGACTCAGAGAGAAGGGAGGGGGCCTCCTTCCCCCGACTCCATCTCAACTTGTCTTTTCCCTGGAGTATTCCTCGGTGTACCCATTCTCTCTACTCCTGACATGGGGACCGATGGTTTACATTCACGTCTGTCCATGACTGGATATGCTCATCCTACTGTCTGTGTGTGCCTTCCGTGCACATCTATGGAGATCGAGCTTCCTAGATTGTCAGCCCCTGGAGGACAGAGCTGGCCTCAGTTTAGAGCATGACTTCTATTTTATAGTCTCTTGGTTTGCCCAGGAGCAACCTGGCTCATGCTCATTGCCCTAGCACAATTATTAGTGGTGTCTTTCTTTTGCTCTCAAAAATTTGTGGTTTAGATGATAAATTCTATGGTCACTTTGCTATAATACCATTTACCATGGGACCACATGCACTGAGGAGCCCACATGCTTCTGATAAGGATGACGAAGATTTGTCTCTTTCAGGCGATAGTTTGAGTCCCTAAGATGTGGCAAGACATAGAGGATGCCTGCTGTCTCAATTGTAAAGAATCATAAGTGACAAGTCACAACCCCCCATCTATTCATCTCTTCTTCAAACAGTGCCCATCCAAGATCCACAATGGAGAGTAAGGCATGCATAATGGGAAGTAGACCATGCTGGTGGGCAGACCCTCCCAAAGGCAGGTCCCAGCACCTAGGGCACTCGACCTTCTGCTCCAAGGCTCTGAAAGGTTTAGCTTCCCTCTGAGGCTTAACAGCCTGGACCCTGGTGCTACCTGGAAGCTGTAGAGAACTGCAATGTTGATCTCCACCAGCGCCTGGTCCTTCCACAAGGAGGAGGTCTTCCTCATGTCCAAGTTCATCTTCTTGGCCACTTCCTGAAAGGGAAAGGAAACAGACTCACAGGCTGGAACACCTCAGACTAAAGAGGGACAGGGCTAGCTAGTGTCATCAATTTGTGGGCAGACTGATGAACTCATTCACTCTGAAGATTTTTTTTATTGAGGAACTACTGGTAACAGGAGACTAGAGAGACTCGGCTGGCCCTTTATTACTGAGTGTACTTTCTAATATGGGAGAAAGTGAACACTGTTATGAGTGCTAATTCCTAGGAAGAAAATATGACAAAGAAATGGGATAAAGAGGGTTATGAGGACAGGGTTCATGGAACCAGGATAGCCAGGCCCACTGCAGAAGTGGCATTCTAGGCGAGACCAAGATGATAAAAAGCAAGACATTTGCAGATGGAGGGAGGGAAGATTCTAGGCAGAGAGCCAGCAGGGGAGAGTCCCTGAGAAGGGATCAGGCTTGCAGCATTTGAGATATGGGAAGAAGGTGAGTGGACATGGAGGGCGGTGAGCCAGGAGGAGCTGGTGACAGAGAGGGGCAGGTCTGGATCGTGCAGGATCACGAAGGATGGCCAAGGAGCCAGGATTTTGTTTCAAGCATGACAACGAGGGTCCTGGTGAGGTTTTAAGCAGAGATGTGGATCTGGAAGTGACATCATCTGCTTCTTAGTATGAGAAGCTCTCCACCCAACCTGCTCCATCCTGGAACGTGGATTCTTTAGGCTCGTGGAGACACCTGCCTGACTCCATTTGACGGATGAAGAAACTGAGGCTCAGAGAGGTGCCTGGACTTGCTTAAAGTCCATAGAGCCAGTTGGCCTCGGAGCCGGAACCCAGGGAGATGCATACTGCCCAAGAGCTGGGGGCCACTCCCAAACCAGCTGCCTCCTTTGGCAAAACTGCTTGGGAAAAATCATCCTCCGATATTTCTGTCACAGCTCAAGCTGATGTGGAAGCTGATGTCAGGCGTGGGGAAGACCCAATAGCAAATTCACTAATTAGAGACTTGCTTTTCACTTACCCTGTCAGTTCTAGTCACTTGTGGGAACCCAAGTCTCATTATGGGGCTAGAATGCGACAATTTCTCAGCTTTGGGTAAATCGTTTCCCAGTCCCAGCTGTCAACGTTTGTACGTAATGGCAGTTGAAATTGGAGGGCAGGGGTGGGAGGGAGCCTCATTTAACTTGCCCAGTGACTACTCTTTGTAATCGAATGTAAGCAGAGATCATGAAAGCAGAGTTATTATATTTACTCTTTGAGGCTGAGGCGTTAGGTTCTGCTTGAGGTCTTTTAGCAGTGATATAAATGCAAAAAGTGAAAAATTTGCCGCTTTACATAAATATATATAAAACTTGAGTTCTTTTATAAAAGAGCGTGTATACAGCCAGTCATGCTGCAATTGTTACTTCTAGGCATTATTTTGTTTATACTTTGAAAGAATAGAAATTAGTTGCAGGAAAAAAAAATTAAAAACTTTATACGACTTTAAAAATCCTCAAATGTGACTAGAGCCACACAACTATGAAAATTGTCTGAAATGTCTTTTTCTTTCCTGCCAGATGTTTGTACAGCTCAGTGGCTGCCCGGTAGAATTTTCTAGGGAGCTCTGAAAAAGGGTGAAGCCCTGGCCCCAACCTGGGACAATTATATCTGAATCCTGGGGAGAAAGACTTGGGCATCACAAATCTCTTTAGGTCATTCCAGTACGTGGCAAGGCTGAGGACCTCAGCTTCTGTTTTCCAGGCAGACACCCACGGAAGTTTTAAAAAATTGAGATGTAATTGAATATAACATTGTATAAGCTTAAGGTGCACAGTTTAAGGTGGTTTGATACATTTCTATATTGCAATATTATTACCACATCAGTTTACACTTCTCCTATATCACATAATCGTTTCTCTCCTTTTTTTTTGTGGTGAGAATAATTAAGATCTAGTCTCTTAGCAGCTTTGAAGTTTATAATACAGTACAGTTGACTATAACCATGATGCTGTGCATTAGATCTCCAGAACTTGTTTATCTGTATAATAACTCAAACAACATCTCCCCAACACCCATCCCCGACCCCAGCCCCAGCAACCACCATTCTACTCTTTTTATAAGTTCGACTTTTTTAGACTGTACGTATACGTAAGATCGAACAGTGCTTATCTTTCTGGGTCCGACTTAGCTTGCTTAGCATGATGCCCCCAAGGTCCATCCATGTGGACGACCATAGATTTTGACTCTGTACCTTATCTACTGTGTGACATAGGCCCTGCACTTAACTTCTGTTTCTCAGTGCCCTATTTTGAAACGAGGCCAACTACAGCTGACTGCTGTTAGGAACAACATTTGCTGACAAAATCACAGCAATCCTGATGCTTTCACCAAAGTTGAGCTCCAGGAAGCACTCTGGCCCAGCACTTTTTAGTAGATGAGGATGACTCAGCCCTGAAGGAAAACAGAACCTCCACTGAGAAATGCGTATGGTAAGGAACAACTGCCAATCCTCCTCCTTTGTTTTTTAGAAAACAGACCAAAAAAAAAAAAAAAAAAAAAAAGTCCCAAGATCACGGGTCATTCCAACAGCGTTTGACATTGAGATGCAGTGTAGCAGAGTGGTTATGAACTTGGACCATAAAGTCGGACTGGTTTGCGTCCCAGCTCTGCCACTTGTTGGCAGTGTGACCTTGAGCTTGTCATTTCATCTCTCCAAAAGGCTTTCATTTTCTCATCGGTGAGAGGGGGATTTTTATACCTGGAGGTTATGGGGGGAATTAAATGAGCGTGTAATCTGTGCAAAGTGCTTTGCACAGTGCCTGGCACACAGCACAGGCACTGTCAGTGCCTTGGGTGCCTCTGGAACTGCAGGGGCTTCACCGGGACTGCGGGATGCATTTTAACTCCTTCCAGTTTCCAAGCCCCAAGGCTCGGCTGTGGGGAAGGACTACTGAGCCCTCCCCATCTGCCTTGTGCTTTCCTGTCAGGGCGACTGAGGAGAGACCTCACCTCGAGGATGTTGTATCGAGAGTTGTCACAGTAGTCGCGGACGCCAATCTCTGTGCCCATATACCAGCCGCTGAAGGGACAGGCGCTGAACTCCAGGCCACCAATCTCCAAAAGCATGTTGGCCACCGCGGGGAGGCCATACCACTTCAGCCCCAGGTCCTTGAACCACTCCAACCTGCAGAGAGCAGCACAGTCCGGCTCAGTCTGGGGTGCAAGTCTCACAGGTAGACTCGTGTTGGGATGGCCTTAGTCTGGGGACGCGGAAACGCCAGTGACTGGCTGGGATGGACAATGCTAGAACTCGATTCTTGGGCTCCGCCTCAGATCTATAGAACCACAGGGCCTGAGAATATGCATTTTTAACAACGGAACAGCCTTAGATCTCCAGAACTTACTTATCTGTATAACTTAAACAACATCTCCCCAGTTGCCACTTGGATGGACATCCAGGCCTGGGAACCACACTGCCTTGGGCTGCTGTATTTCTCCCAAACTCACTCTAAAAGTTAGTCTAAGAGAAAGTGAGTTCCTTCCAACCCCAGGGCCTTTGAACGGCCGTTCCTTCCTCCTGGGATCTTTTCTCTTCCTTCTGTGTCTGTTCAGCTCTAACCCACACCTTAATTCTCAGTGAAACTGTTTTTACTCTAAGAAGTCTTTCCTGATGGCCAGTATGGGTTGGGTCAGGTGACTTTGTGTCTCTAGGCACCATAAAATTTCTAATGCACCATTTTATTGGAATTAGGTGGCTATACAGGTAATATCAAAACTTTAAATAAAGACACAATCCCACCCTGTATTTGCATGACTCACCTGGTTCGCCTCACTCTAATCTCAGCCCTGAACTGGATCGTGCCTTTATTTAAAATTTTGATATGTTGTACATCATCGATTTTTTTTAAAGTTATTTTTGATTTTTAAAAATATTGCATTCAAATATTATTGAGTTTTTTGGTGCCTGCCTCAATTTTGTCCCTAGATCCAGTGCCTCGCTGTGGATTTCCTTCACTCTCAAAGTGTAAATTCTGCTTGTGCTGCTTGTCCCAGTCATCACAGCTCCTTCCTGGCTCCAAATCCCTTTTCCATTTGACCTACATCAGGTCACACAGTGCTTTAAATGGCTCCCTCTATTTCAAATTTGTGCACGCAACAAGACAGTAGGCGCTCCCGCTCAGTTTAACCCTTTGCGCTGGAAAAAGGGCAGGTCCTGGTTGATCGCTTAGGAGTGAGGTGAGGAGGAAGATTATAATTCAGGAAAAGATGGCAGTCCCCAAGCTGGTCAAGAAGGAATTATTGATTCTTAGGGGGTCCCACTCTGCCTAGGCCCCACAGTGAGGATTAGAACCAATACCCCCTTTAATTTCGCCTGTGTCTGGGCTGGAGAAAGAGCCAGGTGCGTATGGGAATGGGCAGAGAGGGGCACTGGGCAAGTCAGCCCACCCTCGCCCACCCCCTGCCTGTCCCTCTTACTTGGGGTGTCTGATGGGCACTTCCAGCACCAGCTCCGGAGGGATCTGAAAGAGCTCGGGGTCGTTGCCGTTGGCCTGCAGCAGCAGTGGCAGGACATCGAAGCGGCCTCTTGGGGGTTTCCAACCCTGTTGCATGCAGATCTGCAACCAGACCCAGCCAGGTCAGGCCACCAAGCCCTCCAAACACCATGGCGATGGGGAGGGGCAGAGGCCCCAGAGCTGGCCCACCAGCACCCGCTTCCTCTGGGGGCTCTGAGCCACACACACCTTCTTTCTCAAGTTCTCCCTGATGTCACCAGGTAACCAGTATCACTTCTTGTGGCCCCATGGGACAGAGGGCGAACCTGTCCTCCAGCATCGTACCTTCTTATGTTTTCTGGGTCTCCCCTGCCCACTGGGAACCCCTGAAGGGCATGGGATGAACGTGACTGTTGCATCTGCAATACCCTCATACACAGGGCCTGGCACATGGTGGGCACTCAGCTGAAAGTGTTTGCATTGGGTGCCTTGAGATGTGAAGAGAAGCTACTGAATTTGATGAGAGTGGATCTGTTAGAATTAGTACATAAAATGCATCTGTTAGAGCAACTGTCTAATCAAAGTACAAAGCGAGCCCCATAAATAATTTGAAATTTTCTGGTGGCTACATTTTAAAAAGTTAAAAAAAAAAACCCCAAACAGGTGAAAGTCATTTTAATAATATATTCTTTCAAAATAATATAATTTAATTTTAATATTTGATTACTAATTAATTATTAATGATAATGCTTATATTAGTTACATTGATATTAATATTAGTTATCAATAGTGTATTAAAGTATTAATATAAATGTATTTTAATAATATATTCTTTCAAAATAATATAATTTAATTTTAATATTTGATTACTAAATAATTATTAATGATAATGCTTATATTAGTTACATTGATATTAATATTAGTTATCAATAGTGTATTAAAGTATTAATATAAATGTATTTTAATAATATATTTGACATTAAAATTAAATGCAAAATATATTTATTAACCTGATAATAAATGTATTAATTCATTAATAAATAAAATAGTTTTGCTCAATATTATCTGCAATATTATTCTTTCAAGATGTAATCAAGATAAAAACTATTAACGAGATGCTTTCTACTCTTTTTTGTTGTTTGTTCTCTGTCTTGGAAACCTGGCATGTATTTTACTCTTATGCTTGTCTCAATTTGGACCCACCATACATCAAGCGCTTGCTAGCCACACGTGGCCAGTGGCTGCCATACTGGACAGTGCCAGGTTAGAGGGTTTCAAAAGATCCAGTCACGTGGTTACGTTTGAGGTGATTCTCTCTGCTGTGTTAGGAGAAAGAGGAAGCATGAAATCCAGGGCTTAGGAGAACGCGTCCTGTCAGTGAGGTTTCTGGAGACAGGAGGCGAGGAGGAGGCTGGCCGTGTGGCGTTTATGTTCTGGTGGCCATGAGGACAAGGTCAGCCAAGTATACAGTTAGCACTCAGCCAAGTGGAGCAGAGAGTCTGGCTGAGTCTAAAATGGCACAGATGCAACTCCTGGTCGCCCTGGTGACAGCCCCCTTTTCTGGAGAATAACATTTTAATAAGAAAAGTCACATGCAAATGAAGTCAGCAGGGACTGAGGCAGTGGGGAAACCCTTGCCACACCAGCTCCATCTCTGGGGAGCTAGTAGGGTAGACTCTGAGGGGGGTTTGAGGAAAGGACAAAGATGAAATTCAACTGGGGAGGAGTGGGTGATCAATAAACGTGGGTACCCGGTCTGTGTGCCTGAGCTCACTGTAGGCACGGGGCCTGCCTGTGGTGTCTCTTGTGGGCACAGATGCTATAAGCTACCATGCCTTAGCTGTGCTACCTGGAAGGAACCTTGGATGGTGGTGGTCGTGCTCCTGGTGGCTTTTATGGATTGACTTCGGATGCCAGCAATTGTGGCAGTGCTGGTACCATGGAGAGTCCAGCCCACCTCAAGAGGCACTGGTGGGTAGAATAGTTGTATGAACAAGTGAGTGAATAAATGATATGAGTCTGACATATAACTCAACTCAGAAAAGGTAGATGCCAGACAAGGCTCCCATATGTCAGCTCCTCTCCTCCAGGTGGGAGGCAGGAGATTTGGACTGTATGTCTGGCTTTCCTTCTATTCATTTATAGCCTTGGATAACTCATTTGGCCTTGGCGAGACTCAGTCTACCCGTCTGCAAAATGGGACAATGGTTCCCATCATTAGAGTCGGACAAGGTAATGGCATGAAAGTGACCAGATGACCAGCTGTAAAAGAAACAGCTGGACTTGGGGCAGCCAAAGGGAGAAGGAATCTGGGGAAGAATAAACTGCACCGTATTTGCTGCTCTCCATGTGATGATAATATTAAACTGAGCAAAGCCTGTAGATAAAGATGGTTTGGGGAGATGGGAGCCCAGGCGGGGGGCCCAGTGGGGGGTGCACATACCTCTGTGAGCTCCACACTGGCTGGATCCCCCAGGATGGAGCCGTCAGGCTGCTTGTAGCCGGCATAGCGGATGAGCTGGGAGTTCCAGACTCGGAAATCATGCTTGCTGTCGATCCTCTGCGGAAATATGGTGATAGCAGATCTGTAGTGGAGAGAGGGGGACATCTGGTGTCAGGGCGGGGCTTGTACTTTGGGGACACACTGGAAAAGGTGTTGCCCAAGCCAATGACTGCATGAGGCTCAGGGTGCTTGACAGCTGTGTCAAGGTCCCCAGGGCTCATGGCACAGTTATGGGAAGGGAAGGACCCTAACCAACCCTCCACGGGACCACTGGTCTGAGAAGGGGCGGAGGCCTGGAGGCCCCATGTCAGCTGGCAGAAGGAAGGAAATGCCTCTCTGGTGAGACTTTTAAACAAGTTTGACTCGGGCCAGTTTTCCAGGGAGCTCTTTCACAGTGGGTAATCTCCAGGAAAAGGACGTCCGGCCCTGCTCGCCTTTAGGAATGCACCATCGATTGATAGTTCTTGTCTTTCTCCTACCATCGTCACTACCATCGTTAATTCTTGCCCAATTCCCCTGCCCCGTCCCACCACAGGATACCAAGGTCTATGGACTTATGACTAAAAAGAAATCAACTGCCATTTGTACTCGTATTAATAGATCGCCACTGGCCTCACCTACCTAACTAGGCGACTACGAGACCGTACACTGTTATTAAACTGTGGAAAGACGTTGCTGCCTGCCGAAGGCACCTAGGTAGAGCCCTGCTCTCTTTTTGTTAAAGGGAGATCAGCAGCATCAGGGGGACGTTAACGATGGTTTAGTGTCAAACTGAGACTTTCTCCTTGGCCTCATCAGAAGGGTTTAATAGAACTTGACAAGAGAATAACTTTTTCATGGTGTGGTTCAATGTTACATCAAGCCAGGAGCTCCTGCCACCAGCGTTCACCAGTCCCCTCAGCGGACTGAATCCCAGGCCGTGTGCCCCATCCTGGCTCGTGTCTGCATGAGGGTCGCCCTGTGGGCCCAACCCATTCCTCGCAGAGCTTCTCCCATACACATCCTGCCCCTGGAACTTGGCCCTGCTGCTCCCTTGGCCGAAATCCCTCTGCGCTGTCACGAATCCAAATTCAAGGCCTACTCAAGTTCGCTTTCTCCACATAGCATCCCCTGTCTCATCTAGCTCCTGAAGTCTTCTTCCTGAGCACAATTGGATCTTATCGTCGGCACAGGACAATACTGCGCATAGTACTGCAGGGGTGGTGTGAGGCACCTGGGTGGGGGCAGGGGCAAAGGCAAAAGTCACAGAGAACCAGAGGCTCGCTCAAAAATCTCTTCGCAACGGTGCCATATTGGAGACGAACACAGGATGAGTCAAATCATCGGTTTCCCCTCCAGCAGTAAAACACACTGCCGTTCCTTGTAAAACACACTGCCGTTCCTCTGGTTGAGCACCAGATAAAGGGTGTTTGTGTAATATATACATTTAAAAAGCATGTTTAGAAACAGCAGAATCATAGACAGTGGGATGCTTACTCTGTGTGCAGGAACCGAGACCAATGGCAGAAATGCGACACATTTCACCGAGACCAGTGGCAGAAATGCGACACATTTACGCCTCTCCCACCTCCTGCGTGTGTCTCCTAAGCAGAAGCTCGCTGCGTGGCAGGTCGAATGCCTTGCACTGTTGGAATTACATCTCTCTCTCTCTCCTCCTTCTTCTCTCTTGCCTGCCTGCCTATGTTTAGATTATTTCTATATGTGGTACACATTCTCTTATGGCCTCTCGGTGTCTGGATGTGTGGTTTAGAATGTGTCAAAAAAGAATCAGCTGAATATTTTCTTCAATGGAAAATCTCATGAAGATTCCCCAATAGATAACTGATAAAAGTGGAGGTGTGGTGTCTGGCCTATGAGCTCCCCCTGCCTCTCACCCAATATCACCTTGTCACAGCACATTCTGAAAACTACCAGAATGTCCCGCACACCCCTTGAGGCCGAGACTGCCTTTAACGGCCAGGATATGCAGGATGTTCTCTGAGGGGTGAAGTATTTTAGGAAAAAGATATATAGTTGACCCTTGAATAGTGCGGGGTTTAGGGGCACTGACTCCCTGTGCAGTTTAAAATCCGCCTCTAATTTTCGACTCCCGCAAAATGTAACTACTAATAGCCTATCGTTGACCGGAAGGAAGCCTTACGAATAACATAAACAATGTATTTTGTATGCTCTATGTCTTATATAATGTATTCTTACAATAAAGTAAGCTAGAGAAGAGAAAATATTATTAAGAAAATCACAAGGAAGAGAAAACACACTTACTGCATTTCTTGAAAAATAACCTGCATACAAGTGAGCCCGTGCAGTTGAAACCCGTGTTCAGGGATCACCCGTACTAATTCCCCACACAGGCCCCGAGCTTAGATGACAGGCCTGTCCTAACTGGTAGGCTTGGCGGGCGAACACTGCCGCCTTCCCAAGGAAGAGACTCATGTGAGAAACCCCATGCTCAATGCTAACAAGCCAGTTTGGGGATGAGCTCAGTGCAGCCCAGAGGCTTGTGGGAATATCTCTGCAGCAGCCCCGAGCTGGGGCTGGTCCTCCGGAGCGGGGAACAGATGCCGGGGCAGGACTAATTGAGCAGGATTAACAAGTGTAACCGCCTGTCTGTGGGGGCCCCAGCTGTTCCCTTCCAGCTGCTCCTCACCCAGCTGTGGCTTGCTGGTGTGGAAGCCACCAGCTCACAATGGTGCCTCCCTGGTGGCTTTGTTCTTCGTATGGGGCAAGAGGAGTCCAAGGCGTGGCGTGGCTTGGTGGAGCCTGAAGGAGCAGTCCCCACAGCAGCGAGAAGAGAAACTGCCTTTTAATCGGAGAGGGATTCTGAGGCAGCTCCAGGCAACAGAAGCTGGAGCTGGTACAAGCAGGTCACCGCTGGCAACAGGACTTTCTGATTCCCAGGAATGAGAAACGTCCCTTCCTGCCCCCTCCGTGGGTGATAATGAACTGTGGGTTGAGCGTGATCTTGGTGGTTGTAGCTTTGCAAACCACATGGGAGTCTGTTTCTCCCAGAAGAGATGGGTCACAGAGGGTGGAGTAAGTGTGCCAAGCCCACCTCTCTCAGCTTGGCCTATCTCCCGGAGAGGAGAGGGGGGACATTTCCAGACCCAGGCGGTGACATTAGACTTCCCTGCCCCGAGCTGGTCGGCTCACCTGAGATTCCCTTTGTTGGTGGCATACTTGATGTGGTTGCAAATGTAGTTGAACATCCCGTGAGCCGTGGTGCAGTCGCGGGCATCGAACACCTGGAAGAGGGGCATCATGGGACCGACGGCCTCCTTCCCTCCTCGGCTCCCCAGCACCGCTTCCCATGGGAGGAGGGCCCAGAGCCCACTCCAGCTGCCTCCCCATTGGACTAGCGAGCATCTCACTACTCCATCAAACCAGGAAAAATCCCCTAAAAGTAGGCGTGGGGCATAAGTGGTGTGGGTAAGAGATGGGGAAGTAAAGGAGAGATTTTTAGTGTGCTGGTCATCGTTTCTGTCAGATGCTTAGGGATTAGAGATTAAAAAATAAAACAAAAATCAGATAAAAGAAAAACCCTTGAGCTCGATAACTAATGTACTTCCAACCTGAAGCTCTTTCCCAGAGGGGGAAAAAAAAAATCATACCAGGGGACACAGAATCTGATGTTTTCATGGAGGCAGATGATATCAATAAGCAAAGAGGGTAGGTGCAAAGCAAAAGGGAGTGGTGAGGTCTGCCGTAGACCGGAGCATACAAGCTCTGCCAAGAGACGCACAAATCCGCTTTAAAAAAAAAAAGCATTGGTTGGCTAAATGAGACATAACTGTAAAGCAGATTTGGTAGTGATGACCATTATCTGATAGTTCGCCATGGCCACAGGTGCCCTGGGTAGAGCTCATCTCCCCGCCCTCCACCCGATCTCCTCTGTCTAAGGGCTTGTCAGGGTCCAGGAGCCTCACCGCCTACCTGCAGCTTGGACCACTGGATTCTGCCGACGCAGCGGGAGGCGTTCCTCCAGGCATGCTTGGCCCCGTAGATGAGCTCCGTGTCTTTGAGTTGGTAGGTGCTGGTGATTTCAATCTCTTTGTTCACCTCGTCCAGCCTCTCCATGTGGGCTTTGGAGCCAAATCTGAGTGAGGAGGGAAGGGACACAGGAGTATCACCTTTTCTTCACAATTAGAGGTTGGTGGGAGGAACGAGCTATTACTGGAGGCCAGAAACCACAGAAAGTCGGGGTTGATTTCTGGACACAATAATTCAAGCATAAAGCAGAGACTGCACACTCAAATGCCCACAAAGGCCCAGCAGTGACTGGACTGGCTGAGTGGGGACTGTGGCAAACAGGTGAGTCCCTGGGGACAGCCACAACTCTGCTCTAGCCAGTTGTTGCTTGATTGGAATACGGGCCGGGGCTGCCACGTCTTCTTTCAAAAGAGACGAGAAACCTGATTTTTAAAAGA